TGTCTATTTAATATATCGACGACAGGAAATAAAAATTTAGTCACTCCATCTGCTTTTATAAACCACTCAACTTTCTTTGCTTTTATAAACCACAGAATGACTAACTCCAATTTCAACATTTTTGAGTGATGTCATTTTAGTGATATTTTTAGTTGAAAAAGTTATCTATGCAGACAATGAGTAAGTTGATTCCAGAGGTGGTGATTGCAGTGTTGAAATATAGAACTGAGAATAAAGGTATAAATTTAGGTACTGCTTTAGTATGAAAGATATTCTTAGGAAAGACACTTTATTAAATATCTGTGGAAAAAAGGTTTTTTTAGTCTCAACAATTAAAAAAATTATTTTAAATTTATCCAAATTTTCGCCTTTTCAGGTAAAAAAAATAGAGACCATTTATTTCCTCCCAATTGTCCTATTTTAAAGATTTTTTTTTGTTTTTTTAGGAAATTCCATAAACTTCTAAAAAACCATAGTTTTCGTTTATGAGCTAGACTGTTAACACACACACATACACACAGACCATTTTGCGACACTTGGTTATTTAATTTCAGGGGACCTGAAAACATGTATTTCCGTTGAAAACTGAGATTCGAAAATTTTCACGACCGCCATACTTCTTACCCTTACTATATATTACATATATACGTGTCAAAGTAAAAATATTTTACTATCTAGATATCTCTGCTAATAGTGCTTTGATTTCGATGAAACTTCTTTCATTTTTTAGACAATTTAAATATCTTTCAAACATTTCATCACAATATCCCCCAAAAAGCGTATACTTTTTGAGCTATTCGGAATTTAATTTTAACATCCCTCGTAACTTTTTTTTCAGCTTCTTTTCGTTGAAGTATGTTATATAGATAAATTTAAAGGGTATCGAGAAAATGACTTTAGTGAAGTTTCATTGAAATCGGTACATTCGTTTAGGCGCTACAGTCTATAGCAACGCAGGTTTTTCTGCATTTTTATTTTTTTCTCCTTTATTAACTTATCAAATTCTTTCAAAAGTTATATTTAGCATTTTTTCGTAACTCTGAATAATGGAAAATGGTTAAATTTTTAAAATAAACCATATTAAAGGTACTTTAGAGGAAGACATATATGAACATTGGCCATTTAAGCCCTGTAAAGTGACATCAACGGGAATAAGACCTAAATGATATTAAAGACCACTTAATTATACAATGAAACACCGAGTTTGATCAAAATCGTTAGAGTCGTTTTTGAGAAAATTTTAAAAATGTGTTTCAGCGTTCATATAAAGTGCCACTTCCGGTTAGCCGATTTTAACGAAAAATTTGCTGTCACATCCGGCCCATATACAAACCTTAAATATAGGTATCAGTTTCGTACTACTTTTTGTTTATGAGCTAGACTGTTAACACACACACACACACCCAGACCATTTTGCGACACTTGGTTATTTGAACACAGGGGACCTAAAAACATGTATTTCCGTTGAAAACTGAGATTTCAAAATTTTCACGATCGCAATACTTACCCTTACTATATATTACATATATACGTAATTGAAAGTAAAAATAAGGGTGCGCTCACTCAAACAGGCATCATTCACGTGTCTGGCCGTTTGGGACCCGTTCCGACCGAGTTTAAACTCGTAAAACAAAATTTTGGGAAAATCACGCTTTTACAACTTAATAAGGGTCAAGGAATTTTCAACAAGTGAAATATTAAAGAAGATAAAAAATAATTTTATTTTGAAGAGTGTTGGGATATTGGTTAGTAAAATAAAGTTGAAGGATTCCAAACTAAAAAATAAACTTAATTGAAGTCAATTCATGTATAGAAATAAATAAAAAAAAATATCTTCATTTAGTATTATAAATGATCAAAATAAAATTTTTCTTAAAAACAAACTTTATAAGTCCAGAAACAAATGAATAAGATTTACTTTATGTTTATCCAAATTTGATGACTATCAACAAATTCTTAGACCCAACCTATTTGGGCCAGGTTACTTATGGAAAATAGCACTAGCAGGATTTAATTTTTTTTTTTTGGGGGGGGGGAGAGGCTTCAGCCCGAAAGTTTTTTTTTCATAATAATAACGATAATTACTTTGGAAAAAAAAGAAAGAAACTAACTACCTATATGAAATGGTGTTTAAGTGATTCATAAAGTCATTTTAAATGTAATTACACGAACAATAATACTTTAAGAGATGTTTTTAAATTTTTTTTTCCATAAAACATGGTTATATTTTACCACTTTAGGGTGGGGGCTCGCGCGCCATAGCCCCCTTCCCGTAGATCCGCCCGTGGAAAATAGTATAAACCGACTTTGGCTTTACATATAAGCTATGCCTTTTCACCCGAATCTTCCAAGATTGCAGCCATAGTAGGGAAATTAATCGACAAATCTCAAGTGTTAAAATGTTTTTTCTCATCCGTAACCCAAATAAGAAATTACACCAGTTACCACTACACATTATCTATCTCTAGATTCACATATTTATCTCTACGATCTATCATAATATATATGTTGTATAATAAAGGAGATATGAATGATAAGAGCGAACAATCGAATTGAATGTAACACTGCCATATGAGGATTATTAAATGTTAAAACTCAAGTATTAACAGTTTCTTATAAAGGTTGTTGTTACGGTCTTTAATTTGAAAAAAAAATGTTTCCGCAAAAAACTTGCCGGATGCTCAGTGGAGACGGTAGGGTTCGAAAAAAAAAAATAATCAAGAGTCAATTAATATTTCTAACTATCTAACAGGGGGCACGCTATTTAATTGGTTGGATTTAGAATAGCGAAAACCATAAAAGTAAAAATACAAAAAAAATTTAATTAAACAAAAAAATTTGGACGCGGAGTGAGCTATGAACTCGGAACCTATGGGTTTAAAAACATAACCTATCGAACCTTCTTACTTTTACAATTCATTATAAACCCCCTCCCCTCCCAAAAAAAAAACAATATAATATATACATAAAAATTGAAAACAAACTGAAGAAAATAAAACTGGCTAATATTAATACTAATGATGAATTTACTTATTTCTATAGATTTAAATAACTGTTAAAGGAAATGAAAATTATGAACAAGAAATTAGATTTATAAGAAAATACAATTAACATTAATTATCAAAAAAAGAATATAAAATTATTATTGAACTGAACCTTAACTTAGACTATACAATAAACCAATTACAAATACTAGTAGGCCCGTGCGAAAAATTCGCACAGCATATTGTTATCAAATGCCAGATTAAGATTAATAAAATAAAATAATGCAACCTATCAAAAGATAAAGAAATCAAACGTTACTTTATCGATAAATATAATCGACAAAGAAAACAAAAATTAATTTAAATCTTCATTTTTGTTTGGAACCAATATGTTTACAAATTTCAGTAAGCTGTATCTTTGCTAAAAATTGTCCGATTTCGATGATTTTTTTCCCTTTTGTAGGGAATTAAGTAATCTTTTATATAATCACGGCCATAACCCAGGGAAAAGTGTGTAATTTTTCAGTTATTCGCAAATAAAGTTTGTTTTCTTTTATAACTTTTTTGCCTGAATTTTCGGGATGATTGGACTATTTTGTCCGCCTGAAGGAGAAGGAAGCTTTCGAAATTGTTGGCTCAATCTTGAGATTTGGTGAAAAATTGACGATGATATGGCTTGCCGATCAAAAACACCATCGATAAATAATATAAACTCCTCCTCTGTCGATCATAGGGACCTCAAGTCGACGAAATGAGACATGTATTCAATGACAGTACTACAATTAATGTAAGGTTGTGTGGATGCGAACCCTATGCTTTGCATTATCTCGAAAACAGTACGTTTTGGGGCTTAAAAACGCAGGATCCGATGGTTCCGGAGGAACTATCCGGGTCTTGCTGTATGCATCAAAATCTTCTAGATCCAATTTGACCCGTATCGGTACAGACCTACCACTGTTCAGGTATTGAAGCCTAGCAGAATGTTTGTATCGACTTTATTTATTTTAGCGATTTTATTTTATTTATAAAAGCGGAGAATACGATTCGCTAACCCCCCGTGAAATTCTGAATCCAACGGTACCACATTCATGGTATTTGAGCATGACAGGAGCTTATATTTGATACGAAACCGATTTCGAGCCTTACTGTAATAATATATGTACGGATTTGAAAAAAAATATAAACTTATATATACATATTTACAAAATCTCAATGCCGAACTTTGTCCAATTGGCACATTGAGTTATTTGAGGAAGCGGGAACTTATTTAAGCTAGCGTCATCAGGATCTCCCCAGTCCACCTCTTTAAGCTGTGAAAATGTTCATTCAACAAATTGTAAAATCAAGCGGCAGTCGTCGCTGATAATCACAGGTTCATGGATAGGAAAAGAAAATCCGGTGTACACCGTAAAATTAAAATATTTCACACACACAAATTCTTAGCGTGTCTACTACACTCGCGAGGTTCCGCCATATCTCTCCAAAACTCTTTTGTTTTTCCTCCCAATCATCTGTTGGTTATTCCAAAAACTAAGACTTATTATAAACTGATACTTATTATTAAAACTAATACTAAATACTTAATTTTATATTAAACCCTCTTCGAGTGAATAAAAAAAACTAACAATTATTTTACGAACTATTTTTTTTTTTTTTTAATTTCTCGTCACAGTGTTAAAATAAAGAGAACAGTAATTCCAGCATTACTTTTCCAATACAGCCCAATAAATAAAGATCATGACGAATTTAATGATGCCGAGCCATACCTTTCAATGGGAACTATCCTCAGGACATCGACTGCACTCCTTGAAGGGATGCGCAAGGGTGCAGGGATAGCGCAAGAGAGGAAGTTGAGGCGCAAAATATTGCAGCGTCCCTTGGCCGCAGAGGCGAGGGGTAGTCTTAAATTACAAAAATGATAATAAGACAATAAAGAAGGCGGGAGGGAGTCCTTGCTACGTCACGGCCAGCAACGGGGGCCAAGTCTAAATTTGTGCCGAGAGGCGTTCAGTGCGACTCGTGCTCCCGCAGCGAACTCCCATCGCCAGGAGCAGTAAGCCAGGGTCCACACTACTCGCCAATCGGCCCTAGCTAGTTTCATCCATAACAGGGTATATAAATATTTATATATTGAGATACATGTTAACAACCTCTGATCCTATGCTAGTTATCATCATTCCGGAACTAAAATATATTTGACCGTCTTATTGATCGATTACATTTGTGATTTTTATATTAACATAATGTGATGTTTAGTAATTTTGTTAACAACAACAAACAAGAGATGAAATAATTCAGGATCATAAAGGATATTGAGATAGACCACTACAATCTAATGATGGAATTATTTATAAAATCCATAATAAATTAAATATTTTGCTAATGACAACATTAATGATATTATTGTACTGTTGGACATAAAATATAATGCTCTACTTACAATTAGAAAATATAAATAATTTTAGATTTTTTTTTTTAAATCACATATTATGAACCATAGCAAATGTAATGAATCAAGTGAATTAAAAAATATATAAAAATAATGGTCAAATGAATATATCATGATATATGTATATGTATATACATATAGATGATGTAATGGTTTTTTTAAATGTAAATAGTATCAAAATTGTATCATTAACGCTTAAAAGTGATCAAACACATTTTTTTTTTGGTAATGATAAAATATTACTGCTGTTAAACTATCGAATTCCAGTGACATAATAACGAACTAAATCTAAAATGATCATACATTATTTTCTTCAATTTTTACCTCTAATTACAATAGCCATATATGTTTAACGGCACAAGCGGATCCAGGATTTGATTTTATGGGGAGGGGGCTTCAGCCCGAAAGTTTTTTTTTCATAAAAATAACGATAATTACTTTGGGAAAAAAGAAAGAAACAAACTACCTATATGAAATGGTGTTTAAGTGATTCCTAAAGCCCTTTTAAATGTAATTACACGAACAATAATACTTTGAGAAATAATTTTTTTAACATTTTTTTCGATAAAACATGGTTATATTTTTCCATTTTTTTTTTTTTGGAGGGGGGAGAGCTTCATCCCGAAAGCCCCTCTCCCCGCCCGTGTTTAATAATATTTAATTTCAGCGTTTTTTATTATATATAATAACATTTGCTCTTGTGTTAACCCTGTGAGTATATCCTCTTAATTTCAAGTTTAAAGAAACTAAAAAAAAAAGAAAAAAAAAGTAAATATTTACTGTCAGCGATTGGGTGTTTGTCAGTGCTTGTATATAAGGTATATAAGAAATTTTATAAAAACAAACTTGACAAATTCTATCATGAATTATATGGCAGTAATTGTGTTTCTAAAAACATATATTGTAGGCAGATTTTTTGTTTTTTTTTAATTTACAATCGTAAGATTTGGTATTAAAATAATTGCATCTGTTATTAATAAACCGTCCAAATCGAAACATTAATATAATTAGTTTTGTAAATAATGAAGGTATGGCCATATTAATCAGGAAACAATTTTTCGGTTGATTACAATTTCGCAGTGTATATTTGTTTTTTTTTTAAATTAATAAATGAGAGAAGAAAATGTCATAAATTACGTGTATCTTGCGTATGTTTTCAATAAATTGAATATTTATAAATAATAATAATATTGAACTAAAATTGTAGCAGTTGTAACTTATGCGCTTGCAACTTATAATATTCAATTAAATAAGAACTTTATATCGACAATTAAATGTAATAATATTGTTGGCTTTGAGGTAATATATTTTTTATTTATGGTAATATTAAAATAATCGGTCAGTGTGCTTACTAATTAATTATCTCTATATTTTATCCATTTAAATTTATGAATCCGTTAGTCAAATTTTGCATTTTTATATAGGCTTTACAATGTCAAGTTTATTCAATTAATATTTGATGGTCTAGCCACTTGACTCTGGCTATTTTACAATTTGACGTTTGTAAATATTGAAAAATCATTTTTCAAACACTACTGTTTCTTACGCGATGAAGAAATAATAAAAGATGTATGTTCTTTAGTGAGTGATGTCTCGAACCAAAACTTATATTTCCTTCATTTAATTATACATTATACTTGTAAGTTCTTGACTGTAGTTACATTAAAAAAAAAATTCTCCAAAATTCCACTATGTATTTCAAAAAATGTTTGCTGATTAGATCGATAATACAATTGCTGACTTTTTTCGATATATTGTAAATGTCTAAGAATTATTTATTCTTCGTATTTCCATTAATCTCCCTTGTTTTTCTTATCCAACAGGCTGAAATGTAAAACCGAATGTAAACTGTTTTTTTTTTCGTTTTTTTATCATAGGTTAACTATATCACCATTAAAATGTTACTGTAATAATTTTTTCTGAAGATATTGGCAGTACGATATTCGATATGATGAAACTAAATAAAAATAATTGAATAATTGATGGTTGACCGTTGCGTATTTTAGAGGAAGGAGATGGTCCGAGGTGGCGGTCATAAAAATACTAAAAAAAAACTATTTTATTTCAAGCCGACGTTTCGACTCGACTTTGCAGGTCTTCCTCAGGGCTATAACGAGCAAGATATAAACAGATGTAGAAAATTGTGAAAGCTATATAATATTTAGATAAAAATGATAAAGAATGTGTATAAACTTATTAAAATTATAAACAGTGTGAATAGAAAGTACATATAAATGTTAATAACAATAAACTACATAAACAGAGTAAACGAAATATAACTAAGTAACAAGATCTTAAACTGGAGTAAATAAATGGTAACAATTATTGTAGATAGGGAACATTGAATGTAATAAGGAGGATGGATAATATACATAATTATGAATATAATCCTACAGATTATAAGGAAAGCTTGAAAGAAAAAGGGAAAACAATAAGAAATAATAGACATTGAGGGGGTGTGAAGAAATCGAAAAAAAAAAATTAAAAATAAAAACAGAGACTTAGGAGTGTTTGCAATTTGCAGTTGCAGTTGCATGGAGTTTGCTTTGAAACTGGACAAATATATACATGGGGAGAAACCCCATGGCGGAAATTTTTGACCTGGTTGGGGATGGGGTGGCCGGAGTTAGTAGTAAAAACAAATACAAATCCAGGAATATTACAGTATCTAAACTTTGAAGGTATTGATGGATACAAGAAAAAATACTATATCTATGCACTAATTAATTATAAATATACATACAAAATAGAATAAAGAAATTATAGATAAAAGTACAATTTAAGTAAAAAATAAAAATGGATGATCGTCCTTTAATGTAAAATGCACATATAAAAATAAAAATAAATTTGTATTCTACATCTATGTACGATCATCCGTTTTTATTTTGTATTTATTGTACTAGTCTATAATTTCTCTATTTTATCTTGCATTAAATATAATTTTCTTACAATATATACAGCTAATTATAATTTTATTTATTTATGTTAGAATCGTTTTTATACTTTTAAAATTAGTTATGCAAAGTATGGTCTTTCATTTTTATTTTTATACATATACAAATAGTTTCTGTTTTTATTTAATTTTTAATTTTTTTTTTTTTTTTTTCGATTTCTTCACACTCCCTTAATGTCTATTATTTTCCCTTTTTCTTTCAGTCTTTCCTTATGATCAGTAGCATTATATTTATAATTACGTATAATATCCATCCTCTTTATTACATTCAATGTTCCCTATCTACAATAATTGTTACCATTTATTTACTTCAGTTTTGGATTTTGTTACTAAGTTATACTTCGTTTACTCTGTTTATATAATTTATTGTTATTAATATTCTATGTACTTTCTATTCACACTGTTTATAATTTTAATAAGTTTATACACATTCTTTATAATTTTTATCTAAATATTATGTAACTTTCACAATTTTTTACATCTTTTTGTGTCTTGTTGGTTCTAGCCTCTAAGAAGGAAGACCTGCCAAGTAGGGTCGAAACGTCGGCTTGAAATAATTTTTTTTTTTTCACAATTTTAGTCTTTTAATGACCGCCAACCCGGACCATCACTTTTCTCTTAAATAAAAAAAATATATCGTCGATTACTGTTATACCGCATTATATTAATAACTTTTTATATATAAACGATATCAATCATCAATAAACTTAATTTAAAAGAAAAGAAAAATATATATATATATATAAATATATATATATATATATATATATATTATATATATATATATATATATATATATATATATATATATATATACTGTGCCGGCCTAATTGCCCCGGGGCACCAAATTGGAGGGGGCGCCTATCACTTGTTATGAAAAAAAAATTACCTATATAGAATTTAAAAAAAATATATATTACTTCATAAAAAAAAAAACAGTTAAAAAGTTAAATTAATTTTGTATAACAGATAGATTGTATATATTATTCTCGAAGTATATAAAAATACCCTTTAACTCAGTCTCAATTTTATATTATCGTTACAAAGAGCTCTTAGTGCATTCCACTATACTAATCTATTTCTTTCTGTATCCATTCAATTGGATGATTATGTTCTTTCAAAATTGTTTTTCATTTCTCATCATTCATTTATTGTTGTACTGTTTATATTATTAGAGGAGTGAGGGCCTTTACCTTAGATAGTGCCTACAATAAATACCCTTGTTTGTCCTGGAAAGACAGGAAAAGGTATTCTTTCGTCCAACTATGCATTTTTAATAAACAGTACGAGAATCAATCAATGATTAAAAAAACAAGTAATAGGACAACAACATCCAAGTTAATGGAATATAGATTAATTTGGTGGAATGCACTGAAAGCTCCTTGTAACAATAAAATACTGACTGAATTAAAGGGTTTCTATTGTTTCATCAATTTTTTTTTTTTTTGGGGGGGAGGGGAAGATGATATCATCGCCCGGTGGCGCCAATGTCTAAAGAGGGCATTGTATCTATATAATAAGCTCGTATCTAATGGGCTGTGGAAAATAATTTTATGAATGCAATATTTGCACTTAAGAATACTAGATCTAAAACTGTTCTGTTAAAAGAAATGTTCGATGGTCATTGAAAGAGAAGATAGTGTTCATCTGGGACCATACAGGCTGTGAGTCGTCGGAAATGCGTATAAGCGAATCAGAAAATAATTTAA